GAGGAGCCAAGGGGAAAGGAACACACACACACAAGAGGGCAATAGAGGACAACAGAAAAACATGAGAACTAGCATAAATCTAGAAATGACAACAAAACTGGAATTAAACCAATAAAACTAGAAAACAAGGAACAAAGTAAAGAACAACAGAACCAAGACCATGACAGTTTTCAACCATGTTTCCCCTTTCTCTTTGTATATAGTAGTTTAATTTAGTTTAGTTTCACTAGTTTTAGTTAAGAGTTTTAAACTGAAATATGTTTGACTTAGAGCTGAATGATTTTTGTTAATAAACTCTTATATTTTGAACAAAAGTTGTGGTGAATTTATTTAATGTGTGCTCAGAATTAACTGTTTTACCATGATTAGAACTTGCATCACTCTTTCATTTATTGTTAAAACACACAGCTAATGGGGCGTGTGTTCATAAAAATATATAACACCTGAAATAGGGTCTGATTAAATAGATGTTTACCACCTACTGGGGAGGGCAATGAATATCTTAGAGTATCAGAAATATAAATTCCCAGCTGGCTGGGAATTGAATAGAATATAAATCAATTAATGTGGCATCCTACCTGGATGGGCATTGAACATAAAATCACAACACACTTTTAAACCTCCCTGGTAAGGTCTATTCCGGGTTCTGGAAAGGAGGGTCCGTCAGATAGTCGAATCGCTGATTCAGGAGGAGCAGTGTGGTTTTCATCCCGGCCGTGGAACACTGGATCAGCTTTATACCCTTAGCAGAATCCTGAAGGGTGCATAGGAGTTTTCCAACCTAGTATACTTTTATTTTGTGGATCTGGAGAAAGCATTCGACCGTGTCCCTTGGGGGGTCCTGTGGGGGATACTCCGGGAGTATGGGATGTCTGTGTCAGAGTCTGGTCGGCATTGCCGGCAGTAAGTCGGACTCATTTCTTGTGAGGGTTGGACTCCGCCAAGGTTGCCCTTTGTCTGTGACTCTGTTCATAATTTTTATGGACAGAATTTCTAGGCACAGCCAAGGTGTTGAGGGGCTCTGTATTGGTGGCCTTAGGTGTGTCTCTGTTGTTCGCAGATGATGAGGTTCTGTTGGCTTCATCAGGGCGTGATCTACAGCTCTCACTGGAGCGGCTCGTAGCCGAGTGTGAAGTGCCGGGGATGAGGATTAGTGCTTCTAAATCCGAGACCATGGTCTTGAGCCGGAAAAGGGTAGAATGCCTTCTCCAGGTTGGGGGGGATGTACTGCCCCTAGTGGAGGAGTTTAAGTGTCTTGGGGTCTCGTTCACAAATGAGGGGAAGATGGAACGGAAGATCAATAGGCGGATTAATGCAGTGTCTACTGTAAAGCGGGCCCTGTACCGGTCTGTTTTGGTGAAGAGAGAGTTGAGCCAAAAAGCAAAGCTCTCGATTTACCGGTCGATCTATGTTCCTACCCTCATCTATGGTCATGAGCTTTTGGTCATGACCGAAAGAAAGAGATCCCGGATACAAGCGACTGAACTTAGTTTTCTCTGTAGTGTGTCTGGGCTCTCCCTTAGAGAAAGGGTGAGGAGCTCAGCCATCCGGGAGGACTCAGAGTAGAGCCTCCACATCGAGAGGAGCCAGTTGAGGTGGCCCGGGCATCTGATTAGGATGCCTCCTGGACGTCTCCCTGGTGAGGTGTTCCAGGCACATCCCACTGGGAGGAGGCCCAGGGAGAGACCCAGGACACGCTGGAGGGACTATGTTTCTTGGTTTGCCTGGGAATGCCGGAGGAGCTGGCCAAAGTGGCTGGGGAGAGGGACGTCTGGGTCTCCCTACTGAAGCTGCTACCCCCGCGACCCGACCCTGGATAAGCTGAAGAAGACCCATTCGATATTGCAGCCAACCCAGATTCCCAAAGTTCACCATCAACCAGCGACCTTCATCAGAGTTTTTAAGATGCTGGAAGGTCTCAGTGGCTTGGCTAAAGAACTTCAGGGCCTCTTCAGAGGACCCCAGCTTATACTGTACTAGAGGAATCCCCTCAGGTTGTAGTTGTGACCCAGCCAGACGTTTCCCTCATCTGTGCCAATGTCCTCTACAATACTCTGTGTAACAGTAAGTCTGTGACTTCCAGGATCGAGGTTCCAGGTGAAATGGTACTGCAGGGCCTCCAGATTGTTCTCCAGACTCTGAGCAGAACTGATGAGACAATAAACATGACAGATATTAACCTGCAGCAGCAGAAGTGTCACATATTGTGGGTAACAGGAAAAGAAATAAAAAAATTTTTGTAAAAACATCAGTTTCACTGTTCCTGCTTTTTGGTTATTTCTGTCATGTCCAGCATCTGAAGCTCTGATCCTGTGAGAAGGTCTGTCCTGCTCCAGGTTTTTAGTCACATGGTTTTATGATTAGGAGATTTTCTGTACAATTCGCTGATGTCATGATATTTGCAATCGGCAATTGGGTAAAATTGTGCTTTGGCTGAAAAGTCTTTTGGAATCAAAACAAAGCTTGATACTGATTGTAAAATGTGCCAAAACAAAAAATCCTCATCAGCTCTTCACTCATGTTGAAAGCAAAATAATTAAAGTTTTCTGGGTATTTCATTTGACAAACCAACACAGAGTGGAACAAAGCTGTAAGGAGAATGAGGGTTTTCATCTTCTAGTTTTCAGTCTAAACCAGGAGAAACAGCAAACAGGTGAAAGAAGGAGCTCTGGCCCTCATGGAAAAGCTGATCTTCAAAAGAATTCAGTGTATTATAAGACATCCAAATATATATTCACCCAAACGACATTTTTATATAATCTCCAAAGTGATTTATGTGCTCAAACTTTCTTCTACGTGTGCCTTCAGGACTGTCAAACATTCTGATGAACAAATGTAAATAGCAACTGCTAAGCGACTTATGAAACCTGAAAGCAGGTCCAGCTGTTTCATCTTTAATTAGTGTGTTTCAAAGGCAGGTGTAGGAGCAGAAAAAGATAACATTTCCTATAGATTATTTTTTGCAGCAGCAGCAATTTTTCATAGCATTTATTTTGACTGTTGGATTTGGCTTCTAATTTCAGGGGTTGCCGCATTTTTAAATGGCCGCATTTTATTTGTATATGTTTTTTCTGCTGTTTAGAAGTTTGCATAATACATGTGTTTGCTGTTCTTCTTGCACAATGCTGCGTGTTTGCACACGTCTACCACCACGGTTTTTACTTTTGTTTGTAGCATGTATACTCATGTTACATGCAATGTACATTATTTATTGTTATTATTGACTTTTAAATCATATTAAGTGTTTCTTCCATATTCATTGGTTAGAACTTTATCTTTCTTTGCAGACACTCAAATTCTGGTTGTATCACACATTATTTGTTCATATCAATGGAGCAGAATCAGTTCACTTGCCATTTTTGTACTTCACCCACAACACAATCACTTATTGCAAATGCCTTTTCCCCCCACCCACTTAATTTAGTGCTTATTTTTGTGAACTCAGGATCTTTATGTAGTGGGAACTAACAATAACTACCGGTGAAAACTTATCATGCCATCCCTGTGGTGGCAGCATCATCCTGTGGGGATGCTATTCTTAAGCAAGAACAGAGGAGCTGCTCAGAGTTGATGAGAAGATGGATGGATGGATGGATGGATGGATGGATGGATGGATGGATGGATGGATGGATGGATGGATGGATGGATGGATGGATGGATGGATGGATGGATGGATGGATGGACGGATGGATGGATGGATGGATGGATGGATGGATGGATGGATGGATGGAAATTTGTGTTGCCACAGCAGACCGGTTTTAATTTCCTTCATGTATGGCAACCTGAATGGTCATGGTACGGAATTGTGCTAAGTAAATAAACTTGCTGTGTCTTACAAAGAGCAAGGAATTTGAAGTATAATACAAATAAATACAAAAAGTATGGATTTTAAACATGCTTCCAGTGGAACTAAAAAGCAAAACATATGCCCAAATAGGAAAGGGTGAAACAAAAGCAAAATAAAATGAAGGAATAGTCAGACAAGAAAATGAATGCTTAAGTGCCAACAGTCAAAGTGGGTGATACTGTCATGTTCGCAGACCTGAGGATGTTTTAATAGGATCTTCAATATTTACAAAACCATGGACAGTCATGAAGAAAGTTGAAAAAAACATTTTCTTACTAAACGACGGACGCAAATGGAATGTTTCAAAACATGCACACTTCCCAAACCAAACCTTAGCTGGTTCATTGGTGTCAGGAAACACTAATGAATCTGCTGCTACATTCAGAAGAAGTCAGAGATCTAAAAATGCACCAAGATGGTTGACAGGTTTTGTAAGATAATGGGAAAATTGATGTAAATCACTACTGTTCAGACTGGTATTAGTGTTCTATAAGACAAGTAAAGATACACTACTGTTCTGCTAAATTAAAATACAATAAAAAATAAAGAGGTTTAAATGTTCATACTATAATCCTTATGGTTAATAGTGAAACTGGTAATTTTATTCCAATACTGACATTCATTTAATGTATTGTTGCTGCCTTAGCTAATATCATTCGAAACCTTTTACATTGCTATTGGTTTATTGCATTGGTAATTTTTACAAACTTAGCTTTCTGCTGTGGGTTATACAGTTCAAATGTTACATGGAAGTAATTGCTTCAGGAAAAGGGAAAATGTTATGTCCTGTAATAGCATGAAAAGTACAGAAGGAGAAGACGAGACTAAAGAAAGAACTGAAGCTGATGCTACTTATTTTCCACCCCTTCAGTATAGCAACAACACAACAGTTCCACATTTATTTTGATTCTTAATCTTTTTCCTTTGAATATTATGTGTTTTAATTGGTTCAGATATATTTTGATATAGATTAGCTCTCAACTGAAATTATTTTCCCCACCTTTGTTTGATCTTAGTTTCTGTTGTCATCATAATGTCTCGCTTCTTTTTAAATTTCTTCTCACCTCTTTAAGAATTCTTCATATCCTCCAAAAGTTAAAACCAAATTAAAATCCCATATCTAATTACTCTTCTTTCTTTTACTTTATGTGATTTTCTCATCAGTTCTACAGAGGCCTTGGAATCCAAACTGGAGGCCTTGCAGTGCCACTTCACCTGGGATCTAGAACCTACCAAGTCCCAACTAAATAATCTCAGGTATGCACTGGAGGACATCGGCACAGATGAGGGAAATGTCTGGCTGGGTCACATCTCCAACCTGCAGGGATTCATCCAGTATAAGCTGGGCTCCTCTGACAAAGCCCTGAGCATCTTCAGACGAGCCAATGAGACCTTCCAACATCTTAAAAACTCTGATGAAGGTCCCTGGTTGATAGTGAACTTTGGGAATCTTGCTTGGCTGCACCATCTTATGGGTGAAGATGAGAAGAGTCAGGATTACCTGTCAAAGGTTGAAGCTCTGATGAGAGAATACCCAGCTCCACCTGAGGAAGAGCTCCACCCAGAGGTCTGTGCTGAGAAGGCCTGGACCCTGATGAAGTTTGACAAAGAGAAGAAGTTGCAGGCTGCAGAGCTCTTCCAGAAAGCCGTGACGATGCAGCCAGATAACGTGGAATGGCAGACCAGCTGGGCCATATTATCAGCAGATCCCTTCCAAGACAACATGGAAGACATGACTCTTGATGTCTTTGAGAAACTGAGATCTGCCACTGAACGAGATCCAGGAAACTTGTATGTTGCTGCTCTTTATCTGAGGGCACGAGCTGCAAAAAGAGAACAAATATGGAGAGAAGCTCGTGTTTTGGCTGAAAGGATCCTAGAAAGATCTCCAAGCAGTTACCATGGAATCAACCAATTAGGGCGACTGTACAGGGACTATATATCCAAAGATGAAGCTATTAAGTTAGTCGATGAGTACCTGAGGAGATATCCTGACTGTCGTCATGCAAAGAAATCTGCTGCCATTTACTACAAGATGAAGGTCCTTTCTCCAGACTTCACACCCAGTAGTCAAAGCGGCATGGTCACTCGAGCCATTAGTCTCTTGGAGGAGAGGATTGATCTCTATGGTGAATCTAATCTTAAAGATCAAATAGCTCTAGCCGATTTATATGCAAAGATGGATAAAGAGAAAGCTGACCAGATTTATAAAGAGATGCTGAATAGAAAAGACCTGGATTCAGCAGAGAAACAGATGCTTTATAATTGTTATGCAAGATATTCATACTTTAATAGAAATGATCGTTTCAGGTCTATTGAGTACCACGTTATGGCAGCAGAGATTCAAGAAGAATCGAATTATCGACAGAAAAGCATCACAGAGCTAAAGAAGACCTTGTACATAATTGAAGACCATGAAATTTGTGCTAGGATTAGGAAGCTTCTGACCAGCCTGAAAAATCCGCCTGAAACACAGGATCAGTGAATACTAGAAAAGCACTGTGAGAGCGCAGACTTCTGCAAGCGTACATACAAGCTTTAAAGAGCTGGATAAGACATTGAAAAAAGCAAAGACCATAAAATGTGTGAAAAAATCAGGGAGCTTCTGGCCAGCCTGGAACACAGAAACAGTGAATATTAAACAGAATTTAGTTAAAAATAAGTTCATAGCTGGTTTATAAGGATTTATCTTACAAAAATAACATTTAATGTGAAAAAACACATAATCGAATTTATTGAATAAAGCTGTAGATTCTAACCACACTTTTTAGATAGTTTAATATATTAAAATTCATTCACCATAATATTTATATCACTTTTATTTATCGAATAACATGTTTTGAAAGTTTAATCAGATAAATTCTGATATGAATTAAGAATTGGAAATTGGAGCGAGGGCTAAGTGATGAGCAATACTGAAGGCAGCTTGTTGACATATGAGGCTGCAGCAGCTGCAAATGTTTGTCTTGTGAAAAACATTATACAGAAAAAAGACTTTTTGAAGATAAAGCAGAAAAAAGATGATGAATCAAGAGAATTTTAAAATATCAAATGGGTATATATATCTTTTTATCTCACGTGAATGTAGCTTCAAAAGAGTGGACCATACTCAGTTAAAGCTTTGAAGATTTTTCGAGATGGGTTTTCAGGTTCTGAGGCAGGAGTCAAAAATCCAACAAAAATATCTCACAAGACAGGAGTCAAAAAATCCAACAAAAATATCTTACAAGACAGGAGTCAAAAAATCCAACAAAAATATCTTCAGGACCAGAATCTAGGGAGACATCAGGGAAAAACCAAAACTAAGAACCAGGAAGAGACAAGGAAGGACGACAGAGAACTGACCAGAGGTTTGATGAGATGTAAGACGAGGATCCAGCAAACAAGAACTGAAGAGGGAGGGTTTTTAAAGGGGACAGAGACAAGGAGAGAGCTGACGAGGAAATTGGCAACAGGTGCTAGCAGCACAGAGAAAACAGCAAGGGAGGACAGAGCAGAGAACAGAGCTAGGGATAGAGGACACAAGAGGGCAGCAGAGGACAACAAATGGAAAACCTGGAGGACAGGAACTAACAAGAAAACAACAAAATAATAATTAGACATTAAAACAAGAAGCAAAGTAAGACTGAATACTCTCTAAAAAACATAACAAAACCAAGACTGTGACAGTACCACCCACTTAAGGGCGGATCCCAGACGCCCTAAAATGTCCAAAAACAAAAACAACCCACCCAGGGTGGGCGGAGGGGGAACCAGGAAGGAGGGAACGAAAACAAAACAGAGTCCAAAAAACAACCCACCCAGGGTGGGCGAGGCCAACAAAAAGTCTCTGGAGGCAGACGAAGAAGAGTCTCTGGAGGCCGGCCGCGGGGCCGGAGGCGAGGAAGAGTCTCTGGAGGCCGGCCGCGGGGCCGGAGGCGAGGAAGAGTCTCTGGAGGCCGGCCACGGGGCCGGAGGCGAGGAAGAGTCTCTGGAGGCCGGCCGTGGGGCCGGAGGCGAGGAAGAGTCTCTGGAGGCCGGCAGACGTGGCAGACGTTCAGGTGGCCGGCCGTTGGTCAGGCAACGAAGGGGGACCATTGGAGGACGATGTCTCCGTTGCAGCAGGAACCTCGGAGGAGGACGACGTCTCCGTTTCAACTGCTCAGCAACAGTCTCTGAGGGGACCGCGGACCGCGGCTCTGGAACAGGGTCCGAGGAGGCCGTCAGCTGCGGCTCAGGAACTGGAGCAGGAGGGGTCGCCGACTGCGACTCAGAAACAGGTTCAGAGGTGGCCGCCGACTGCTGCTCAGGAACAGCCTCTGAGGTGGCCGCCGACTGCGGCTCAGGAACAGCCTCTGAGGTGGCCGCCGACTGCGGCTCAGAAACAGAGGGGCCCGCCGATTGCGGCTCAGGAACAGAGGGGCCCGCCGATTGCGGCCCCTGGACCGGAGCAGGGGAGCCCGCCGTTTGTGGCCCCGGGTCAGGAGCAGGGGAGCCCGCCGTTTGCGGCCCCGGGTCAGGAGCAGGGGAGCCCGCCGTTTGCGGCCCCGGGTCAGGAGCAGGGGAGCCCGCCGTTTGCGGCCCCGGGTCAGGAGCAGGGGAGCCCGCCGATTGCGGCTCCACCTCAGGAACGGAGGAGACCACCGACTGCGGCTCCACCTCAGGAACGGAGGAGACCACCGATTGCGGCTCCACATCAGGAACGGAGGAGACCACCGACTGCGGCTCCACATCAGGAACGGAGGAGACCACCGACTGCGGCTCCACATCAGGAACGGAGGAGACCACCGACTGCGGCTCCACATCAGGAACGGAGGAGACCACCGACTGCGGCTCCACATCAGGAACGGAGGAGACCACCGACTGTGGCTCCACATCCAGCATGGAGGAAACTGCCCATGGCGGCACAGGTTCAGTCTCTGAGGTGGCTTGAAGTGCCCGCAGAGGGCTCTTGGCAGTTTGGGGCACCCGCTAAGGCGTATTTTCACTAACCCCGATCTCTGAAGCCTTTCGAAAAGTATGCTCAGAGGTCTCTGGACGGCACCGAGCTGGCTCAGGGGTCTCTGGACGGCACAGAGCAGGCTCAGGGGTCTCTGGACGGCACAGAGCAGGCTCAGGGGTCTCTGGACGGCACAGAGCGTGCTTACGGCGACGCCGTCTCTTACGTTGGGGGGTCTTAGAAGCTGGGCTAACTGGTTCACAGACTGATTCTGGCAACAAGCTATCTGGTATGCAAGTGGATTCAGGTTCTAGGCTAGCTGGGTTGCTAACAGGCTTAGGAGTGGGACTAACTGGTTTGGAAATGGATTCATACGCTAAACTGGTTGGTACGTGAACTGGTTCTGAGGCTAGAAAATCAGGCGAGGTAACTGGCTCTAAAACCAAGGGGAAAGATATACTAAAGCGATCAGAAGCTAGGTTTGGAGGTTCACTAACTGGTTCTGACTCGAGGCTAACAGGTCTGCCAACGGGTTCGGACGCTAAGCTAACTGGTTTACTGACTGATTTTGGCTGGGGAGGAGAACTACGAGGTGGCATAAACGGGAAAAGATCATCTCTATCCCCATAATAGAAATTCCAGAGATCAGACTCCTGAATGTGGGGAGCTCTGACTGTCTGGGGTTTTAAGGCTAGAGAAGCAGCAACGCTAACTGGAGATACAGAATTACTTCCGGGTTCTGACGCTAATGATTCTGGAATGCTAATGGGCTGAAAAACAGGAGATGCGTGAATGATGGCGGGTATTGAAGCTAGTGGAACAGAAACGCTACCGGGCTCTGGAACTAAAGGAAAAGAAGTGTTAACAGAAACTGGAGAAACAGGGTGACTGATGGACTCTAAAGCTAAAGGAACTGGTAAGCTAACTGGTTCTGAAGCTAACGGAAACGGATCGCTTCCGGGTCCTGAAGCTAGGGAAACTGGATGGCTAACGTGAGCTGGAGAAAACGGAACGCTGGCAGACTCAGAGGCTAGAGAAACAGGAAAAGATTCTGGTTCTGATCTGGGATCTGACTGACGGAGAGCTCTAGCTGCAGGGGTTTTGATAAGTGGCGTGAGTTTGAGTTTTCTGACCGAGGGAACAATCTGCTGATCTAACAGGTGCTTACTGGGATGGAATTGACTGACCTGGTGAGGAAGAGGACTAAGACCTGCTGCTGGCTGAACAACAGAGGAGTGGAGGGGTCAGGCTGACCCACTGGAGATGGAAAGGCCTTCTTGCCCCGGCGGCGGTTCCTACGCCTGGAAGAGGCAGAAGGCAGAGGCGAACCAGCAGCTGCAGAAGATGGAGGCTCGGATTCGGAGGTTGGTGGAAGCTGAGTTATGTCTCGGAGTGGTGGTTTGGGTGGTGAAGGTTTATTGTGTAGCTGAACAAAAGCGTCCTGTATATTCCACTCAGCTACAGCAATGTAACCAGTTTGGAGAAAAAAGTCATGGAAGTCAGGGAATTTTTCCAGTCTCTCCTTTACCTGCCTTGCTGCACTCACCCGGTTCCAAGGTGGGCTGATCAGAGGTAGGCTGTCCAAAGTAGAGATGAGCAGAGAAAGAAAATCTCTTATTTTATTTGGCTCTGCTGGGTCCATGCTGTTGGCTGGATCCTTCTGTCACGGTTTGGTGGTGTTGGTAGAGGACCCAAATGCAGAGACGAGTTGGTTGAGATGAATTTATGTGTTTTAATGGGTTTTCAGGTTCTGAGGCAGGAGGTAATCAGGCTCTGAGGCAGGAGTCAAAAATCCAGCAAAAATATCTCACAAGACAGGAGTCAAAAAATCCAACAAAAATATCTTACAAGACAGGAGTCAAAAAATCCAACAAAAATATCTTCAGAACCAGAATCTAGGAGACATCAGGGAAAAACCAAAACTAAGAACCAGGAAGAGACAAGGAAGGACGACAGAGAACTGACCAGAGGTTTGATGAGATGTAAGACGAGGATCCAGCAAACAAGAACTGAAGAGGGAGGGTTTTTAAAGGGGACAGAGACAAGGAGAGAGCTGACGAGGAAATTGGCAACAGGTGCTAGCAGCACAGAGAAAACAGCAAGGGAGGACAGAGCAGAGAACAGAGCTAGGGATAGAGGACACAAGAGGGCAGCAGAGGACAACAAATGAAAACCTGGAGGACAGGAACTAACAAGAAAACAACAAAATAATAATTAGACATTAAAACAAGAAGCAAAGTAAGACTGAATACTCTCTAAAAAAACATAACAAAACCAAGACTGTGACACAAATAAAGTCATTACTGAAAACTCTCAAAAATGTGTGGCCCAACTTGAATGTTTCCTGGCGTCTATTAAAGTAGCCTTGATGTTATCTGTCAGGGACTAAGCAGTAAGGCAAAGGGACACAGGAGGTAATTTCAAAAGTCAGGGTTTTATAGACCCCACAAAAAAGATTAACAATATCCAAAAGAATGCAAAAATCAGCCGGCCCATAAAAGAGGTCAACAGAATCTAAAAATACTTAACTTTTAACTTAGCAAACAAAACCAACTTAACCAAGGAAAACTGATCTAGCACAATGACACATGAGGGCAACATATACAGTGGTTTGGCCAAACCAAAAAACAAAGACAGGGGGAAAAAAAATTGCTGACAATTAACTAAAGCAAACATTTAAATGAACTAAACCCAAATTACCCCATAGTTCAGTGGTAAACTTTAAAAAAGATGAATTAATTTAAATAATAGAAATATTAGCTGTTATAAAAACCAAACATCCTCAAAGTCTGTACAACTTATACATATTAATATAGATTTACAGTCGCTGCAGTTGAAAGTAAATCCTTTATGATTAGGACAATAAAATATAAATTTGTGGCAATTTCCTATATCTTTGTTGCTTCTGATTTTATAATTTTCATGTTTTAAATTCGTTTAAAGAGACATTTCTATTCTGCCACCTGTAGCCAAACCACAGAACTGCAACACTCTCTTTTCTGCTTA